GAAATGTTACAGTCATGAAGCAGGTCTGTACTTTTTTCCTTGAAACTACATTTCTGTGTTAGGCAAAAAAGATAATAAAATGTAACATATACACCTGACCTGACCCAAGCATCAGTGAGAAGTTTCTTAACCTCTCTGGCCCTGTTTCTTACCTATAAAATGGGAGAAAATCCCAAGTCTCTGGAATAGCAGCACCCACAGAAGGACTGGCACACAGCAGACATTCGCCTCTCACAGTTCTTTCTAGGCCACGGCCTGTTTCCTCTTTTTGATCCTCTCACCATTCGTTCAGGAATCATTTTCTGTGTCTTGGGGAAGTCCACTCTCAATAAGTTACTAACAGCCTTACTGCTAATTTCCCAATATTCACATCCTGGTCCAATCTCCTCCTTTTGCTGTAGCTCAATTTAGCCAATTGACTATCATCAATCCATTCTAAGCTTTAAATGTCCTAACAGATCGAAATAATTTCCCTCTTGAGTCCAATCTATGCAGTGAGACCCTATACACCTTGTCCTAAAATACAAGAAAAAAAAAAGAATGAATGAATGAATCCCCCTCTCAATGCTCTTCCTGTGTGCCTGTCTCAGTCACCAGCCACACGCAAAGACCCGGATGTCCACTGCTCTCTTGCTCACCCTCTTCAAGGCTCCCCATCGAGTTTCTATCAGGTCCTTCGAGATTTGGCTTCTTCCTTCACTTCTCTGGGTCCACCCCCACTGACTGGCCTCATCTTGGGGTTTGACCTGCTACTGGCAGGACCTCAGGGTAGATTCCTCTACATGGCCCCAACAGACAGCTGGCTATCTTTCTAAAGCTCAAGTACAAATAACCATCTTTTCCAGGAGTTTCCTGATACATCAGGCTTTCCTGATTTTTGTAGGTTTCCTTCTAAGCCCAAGCCTACAGGATAACAACAGTCTGAGTTCTCAGGGAAATTTCACACTAGCTGGCCCCATGTCCTGGCTTCAGAATAGGAGCTAATCTCCAAGGCAAGAGGAGAATCTACTCAGGATCCAGTCGGGCCTACTAGGTGCTCCCTGTGGGAATCTTGACAAAGTAACAGTATCAAACTAACTTTAATACCTAGCCATAAGGCTGCTGCTCTGTCTGACATGGTTTCCTCTATCCCTAAACCTCTTAAATTCTTTTAAGAATTAAGTCTTGCGTGGTTTTGCATGCCTGTAATACCAGCACTCTGGGAGGCTGAAGCAGAAAGACTAAAAGTCTGGCCTACATGACTTGGTAAGACCCTGTCTCAAAATAAAATTATAAGGATCTCCATCTCCACCTTCACAACTCAGAGGAAAGGCCCTGATTCAATGTACAATACTAACATGAAACCAACAAAAAGACTAAGCCTTTTTACAATACTTTTCCACACTTTCATTAGAATACCCATCAAATTACTTGACTTCACTTGTCACTCTATCATCTCCTCTGCCAAGAGTAACCCGCTGCAGGGCTGGGAAGTCTTACCTTCTGGCCAGGTGTCTGTGAAATTCCTTCCCTAACTACTCAGAGCCAAGAGGAATAGACAGGGCACATAATGAGAAATGGTGAGAAAAAAACTAATGTAAGGAAACTAATGTTTCCTTTAAAGTTAGTCTAGGGGCCGGGGAGATGGCTCAGTAGAATAAGTGCTTCCCTGGCAAGCCAAGGGTCTGAGTTCAATGCCCGGTTCCGAGAAAAAATTAAATAAATAAATAATCTATATACTTTTTGTAAGGAAAAAAAAAGGATTTAAGGATTTCCAGAAAATGAATAAATAAATTAATTAATTACTAAAAAAAGGATTAACAAGGGGCGAGGGAGATGGCTCAGTAGGGTAAGCACTTGACTGACAAGCACAAGGATCTGAGTTCAATCCCCGGTTCAGCCAAAAAAAAAAAAAAAAGGATTAACAATGAACAATTCTGCCAACTGGCAGAAAAAAAAATGATACACACACATTTCAAACCAATATTGTGGGGAAAATAGGAGTCACTTTATGGGAAGTCTCAAGGAATAGTGCTACTTCAAATCAGCATATACTAACATCAAGCAAAATACAGTAACATTTAAACCAAATCCAATTTCTTACACTAGTTGGAAACAACTATATACAAAACTAGGTTTTAGCTAAGTTGTAACTTCTATATTTTAATAGGAAAAGTAGCTATGACCTTAGTATTCCTGATACAGAAAGTAAACCTGCTTACCTCGAAAACAAACACCTTTCTTTTATTTATTTATTTTTTTAATTTATTTTATTATTATTGTGTGTGTGTGTGGCCAGCTCAGCCCACCTGGGGGCGGGGCTGGCTGGCATGTGGTTCTGGGGGATCGAACCGCGGTCCCTGTGCTTTGCTAAGCTTGTTCTAAGTAGGTGCTTTAGACCACTGAGCCATCTCACCAGCCCCAACACCTTTCTTTTAGACAGATTTATAGATTATGTCATCCATAATTAGCTGCAGATACAATTACAAAAGAAACCAAAGAACCAAAAGACAAAAAAATAGTTTCACCTAAAATCCCCACAGAACCAAAGCTTAACTGTAAGAAACGCACTTCTGTGGACAAGAGAACTCAGGAAGAGTGACATTTTCCAGGACTTCAATGGACTTGCTGGTGTTAAATGGTTGAATCAGAATTGGAAAGCCGACCTGCATTGGGGGCAGGGGTTCCCAGAACCGGCTTCTGAAGGTGTAAGAAGGGGCCACTCACTCACTTTTTCCAGTCAGCATCTACAGAATGTTGGTCTGGACAGGACTAAGTGAGCCAGGCCTTATGCCTACTTCCCAACGTTACAAGGACTACAGCAGTCAGTATTTATTAACCACATCACTTGCTTAATTATTTACTTACTGCCTGATAAACACCACTGCCATTTGCTGGGTGAAAAAACTGGACCACAAAACTACCTGTGACCACACCAGTTACTTAAAGCCAGAAACTTTTGAACTATCCTAGCACACTTCATCAAATACATTGTCGTTCTTCACTCCTATTCCATCTCTTAAGTAAATAACATTTCTAGGGGCCTGGGAGATGGCTCAGTGGAATAAGCGCTTTCCTGGCAAGCGCAAGGGCCTGAGTTCAAACCCTGGTTCCGCCAATAAAAGTAACATTTCTAGAGCACCCTACTACAGGTCTGTACATGGACGATTAATCTGTCCTCATAACAGCTTTATAAAGTTGGTTTTGGCTTGAAATAAGCTCAATCTTTCCACGAGTCAAGGTTTCTCAAGATGTGGTCACTACTATGGAGGTAAAAAAGACCGACCATCTAGGTCTCAGACAGAAATAACAAGTATTGTGAAGAAGCAGCTTTGCAGCCCGCTGTCTAGCAAGGTTCCAGTGTATGTGACCTATTGAGCCTTTCATCTCCAACCTCCTACAAAGAGATACAAAGCTAAGGCAGCAGAGACCTTGTCCGAGTCTCTCCCACACGCTCACCATGATAAGCCAAGTCTCCACTGTACATATCTGAATCTAGAACAAAACTGCTAAGGTCTAGGGCTAGGGATATAACTCAGTGGTACAAGCCTAAAGGCCAGGCTTCAATTCCCAGCACATAATGGTGGTGAGGGGGTAAAGGGAGTAAGTTGTATTTGAAATTTCCCAAGACACTAAAATTCTACCAGTAAGTAGGAAAAACAAACCAAAAAATCTGGTGTATTTGCAAAACACCTCATATCCATTTAAATACACAACCTAGAGAAATCCAGCCCAAAGAGAACCAAAGTTCTATCTTCCAAGGTTTTCTATTTCTTTGACATGATCTCTTTCCTTATTTCAGAAATACACCATACTGGTTACCTTTCTGTACAAAGCAGGAATGTGTTTACTTAACAACAAAAGAAAAACAGCTTTCAACTTGTACAGATTTTCTGGTGTGTACGCGCAGAACCACCAAGGACAGTATTTTCCAGTCACGGCCATTTCCAGATTGTAATACTCAAACTGATTCCAATACAAGGGAAAACAAGCAACAGATATGGTGCTGCTTTCTCGGATGTCTAGACTACAGGCAAACCCCAAATACCAAAGAACCATCCATGTGTCAAACCAGCATAATTTTTGAGCTATGCCTGGGGCCACATGCCGGAAAAAGAGAAAAGAAGAAAAAAAAAAAAAAAAAAAAAAAAAAAAAAAAAAAAAAGCTAGCCTGAAAAGAAAATCTAGGAGGGAAACCATAAGGTCAACTCCAGTCCACAGGAACTGGGGGAAGCTGGGAGGGCTAGCTGGCCATTAACCAGTGTCATCTTCCTGAGCAGCTTCCTCCCGGCCCCTTCAGTACCTCAGAAAAGCACAACTCTCGAAACGCTCGCCCGCTCAAGGTCATCGGGAGATAGCCATCAAAATCCTGCATGCCTTCAGGCCAAAAGAGATTCCCTTTCTCCCCCAAATCGCCAAGTAAATGCCTTAAATGCCATCCGGCTTTTCTCCGGACCTCCACCAGAAGCAAGTACTCAGACTTTAATTTAGACTGGGAAACTAAGTGTGTTGTTTTGCAACATAAATTAAGGGGCTTTACAGCTCGGCTAAGCCCAGTTCAGAAAGCAGGTGCTTTTCAGCGCACTTTTTAATGACAAGGTCAAATTCACTTTAATTATTAAAACAAAAAGGAGGAAAAGTTGTCTTAACCTTCCAGAAAGGCTGCTTGGGTAAAAGTCTGTAACAAAGTCCCCGTTTGGCTAAACAGTAGTTCCTCATCCTCAGACTGCCAGCAGTCAAGCCGGGTTACTGGCAGAAAACAACAAAGAAACCGGGGTCAGAGTTAGGAGAACCAACTGCTCCCTCGAGCCGCGCCGCGGCACAGCCTCCCCGCCCGCAGAGACCTGCTTCTCGGCTCCGCCACACATAAACACACAAAGGCCCGCGGCGCGCCTCCGCGGGCTTCCCTTCCCGGCGAGGACGAGCCGGAGCCCCGAAACCGCCCCCGGGCGGCTTTCGGGGGTCGTCGGGCTCGGGTCCCCTGGACGTGCGAGCCGCAGGGCGGCGGCGGCGGTGCTCACCGGTTTCCCCGGAAGCGGCGCCACTCCTCCCGAGCACTCGGGACCCTCGGAGTCCCCCGCCCCGAAACCGATGTCCGCCGAGCCGAGCGCAGGGCAGGGCGGAAGGAGCCGCCGCGCGGTCGGCGGGCCGGGCCGGCCGGAGGCGCCGCCCCCG